CGCTGGGTCAAAACAACCCAATTGCTGGATTTGTCCCTATTTTACCCAGCACTGGGCTGTATTTAACCCAGCATTTTTTAGAGTGTAAACAACGATAAAAATGTAAATAATAATAATAGTAGTAGTAGTAGGGGAGAGCGGGGCACAAAGTAACACTTTTTGATTTTCTCAAATTGTGTAAATCCACATAGGGTTCAGAGTATAATTTTTTTTATCCACAGTAATTTCACACTTGTCTAGTACAAATATGTCGCTTTGCTTCATAATTACAGTGCATACGTTTTTCTTTATTTACCCTCAAAAACTGGAAGTGAAATGTGACAACATGCCCCGTAGGTGGGGTACGTTGTAACATGACCATATAACATCTTAAAATGTAATCTGATCGAATGAAAAAAAATATACAAGACAAACTCAAATATTTTGTCAATAAAATAAAATAACTATTTATTTCAAATAAAATAATGGCGTTTTTTTAAGAATGAAAAATAATCTGATTTTGGAGTTTGACAATGTACACATTGCAACCATGCTTGGGACGGCCCACATAAACGAGCCAAAATGCTTTACATGTCTTGAAATAATAATTTCTTAACATTAAACATTAAACATTGACTGTCAGTCTTTATTCGCCTGTTTCTCGTCGTTTATCATTCAAATGTATTAAAGTAAATAGTGTGAATTACATGGCTAATGTCATAGAATAGCACGGCAGGGCACATTGTAACGCAGTGCTACAACATACCCATCTGCGGGGTCAAAATAAACTGATAAATAACAGATTGGAGATTAAAATAATAGCAGATTTGTCTCATTTTAAATGAGTAATAAAAACTGAGATGAAACATTTACTTAAGCCTGAAATTTTTTGATTTTTTTTACTATGGTAAAATAAATGTTCAGCGATATCGTCAAAAGACTTTAGAATTTTGGCGCACTTTTTTTCTCTATATGTCGATAAAGTAACTAGTGCATGCTGTAAATTTGGTTATGCTAGCATGTGTGGAAATATTTAAACCGCGTGTGTTACAATTTACCCCGCGTTACTTTGTGCCTCGCGCTCCCCTAGTAGTAAAAGGGAGTAATACATTCATTTCACACTAAAAATAGTTTTGAGAAGTCATTAAAGACAGGAAACGAATTGCCAAAAGATCATGTTTTTACAGCTTTTTTGTTTATAACTCAAAAACTGTTTTAGGGGAAAAAGAGAGGTCTGGAATTTGATTATTTGGATCTGTGAATGTGGAATTTGGCGTAACGTGCCGCTACAATGTGCCAAAGGTATTTTTGTGAGTGATCGATCTTACCCGCTTCCAGGATGTGACGTAGTCTTCACTTCCTGTACAAGCGCGAGCCGTCGAGCAAGCATGGCTGCCTCCAGTTGCAGAGGCGTGAGGTCGATTTTATGGAAGTATGGGAGCTGCGGGAAGAATTTCTGTGTGTCCCGATCAAAGACGGTTCCGCAGGTGAAATGCGTTCTTATTTTTGCGCCGGCACAGAGCTGTTTTTGCGGTTAGTCGGCCGTGATTGGTTCTGATGCTGCTGACATTATCATGTCCTTGTAACAGTACAGTGCTTTTGGAGTCTGTATAAAACGTGAAGATTGACAGGATGGAGTGCTGTCTTTCTGTTTCATTTCATACATGTTGCGTTAATAACCTGCACTACTTGAACAGTTTATATTTAGTGTTTTATGCAAGACAATATGGCTTGACATGATGTCTTTTGCCCAATTAATACAGATGCAGTTTTAATTCAGAATAATTTAGACTTTTATTTATAATAATATTATTTATATTAAATAAAAGCTTTTTTATTTAGATGATTGCTTCCTACTTAATTATTGATGTTTCATTATTTCATGAGCTTGATCACCAAGGCTACTTGCAACCTTGTTCTTTGTAGCAATTGGCTGAATTTGGTTCTTATTTGTTGTTCTTGTTTTTTTTCTTAATTCCAGCTGCCAGTCAGACACATTTGTGTGTCATCCGCTTTATGGAAGAAGAACCTGGCAGCAGCAGGCCCTCAGAAATTCACACTGGAGTTTATCAACAAACAGGTGGAGGAGTTTGAAATTGGCAAACGACATTTGGCCAACATGATGGGGGAAGACCCAGAGACATTCACACAAGAGGATATTGATGTGAGTTACATTTCTATTCTATTCTATTCAGTCTATTTCAATCACTTCTATTGTTTTATGTACATATTTATGGCCATATTTTATTTTACCAGAACCATCAGTATTACATTTTATCTTCAACAAATAAAACATATGTAACAACAGCATTGATACAGCAGTACATCTGGCTTATTATTATACACCCACAAACACATGTTGGTTTTTATGGTTTATGGGGACTCTCCATAGACGTAATGGTTTTTATACTGTACAAACAGTATTATCTATTGCCCTACACCTAAACCTACCCTTCACAGGAAACTTTCTGCATTTTTAGAATATCAAGAAAAAAAAAACTCGTTCTTTATGATTTATAAGCCTTTTGAATTACAGGGACACCGAAAGTGTCCTCATAAATCACCTTCATATTGTAATACTTAGGTCATAGCCATGTCATTATACAAATTTGTGTCCTCATAAACACGAGAATGGACAAAGTATACCACCTTCTGCTTCAGCTGTTAAATTGATGTGTCATTTGTTCATAGACAAAGATATTTTACAAGATATAGGCTTTAGAGGGTGTTATTCCTTTGTTGGTATTTATAAGTATAGTGTACATATTTGTCATTTATGACAGGTGTTAGAATTGTCATTTTACAGCAGCTTAGACAATGATGAGCTATCTTGTCACTAAAGACTTTTATGAATAAATCTCTTAGAAATCTGAGAGGACTGACTCGGTACTCAGTGCTGCAGAAAGGCTGGTAATATGTATTTAAAATTTAAGTATTGACTTTTGACAACACTAATAAGAAAATTACAGTATGGGTAATTTCTAAATACTATTGTGCCTTAAGATTTTATTATATTATAATTTTTTTTAACCTGTCTCTATCTTCTATAGTAACATGTAGAAGTTGATATTCTAGAATAGTGTTTCTCAACCTTTTTCACTCCCAAGCCCTCCCATTGTCCACAAAAATATTCAAATGCCAGCTAGTCCTAGTTTTGTTTTTCAAAACTTCTTATAATCTGCAGGAACTCATAGTTTCTGTGAATGAAAAAAGTACCAGTTAATTACATTTCAGGATTCCAAAAGTTTTAATGTTGTTCATTTTCCCACTCTTTTTAACCAATGAATTTACACGACTATTAGTCATTTGGGATTTACTGGATAAGGATAAGATAAGAATTTCTATATATATGTTTATTCCTTATACAATTCCCCTGAAGTTTTAAGATTTTCCTAATTTACATGACCTTTCCAGGTATAGAAATTAGGGTTGTGACGGTGAGGAAATTTTCCCACCGGTTAATCGACGTGTGACAACACCGGTAATACCGGTATCACCGCGGAGGCGGGTGTTCCCTCTTCTCCTCACTTTCCTTCGCTTTTAAATAGCTTGTAAAAGTGGTGTGCGCATTTTACTTTCACTTTCAAATAGCGGCAATTCAGAGTAAAGCAATTGTTCATTAGAATTTTCCCTCTTTTCCTCACTTTCCTTCACTTTTAAATAGCTTAAAAGCGCCATGCGCATTTTACTTTCACTTTTGAATTAGCGGCAGTTCGGCGTCAATTGCTTGAATGCAACAACAAAATACAACGTCAAATTCACTTTAGCGTATATATAAAACATAGAACTTTTATTAACAAAACAAATAAAAATACACCATGCTATAGGGCAAGCTATGCCTAATATAAAATAACAAATAACTTACATAAAGTTTAATAGGTATACAAAACTGGAAATAAGTAAACATGTATAATATATAACCAAATAAATAAGAAACGTAGAACGTTTATTAGCAAAACGAATGTCAAATAAAATAAATAAATGACACAGTATAAATAAAGTAAAAATCAGCAAACAATGTGGAACCGATGAAATAAGAAACAAATGTTTTAAAAAAACTTCCAAAATCACCTTAGATAAACGACAAAAGTCATTCGTTTCGAAACTAAATCATCCACCACTCTTCTTGTCAGTCAGCTCGACTCACTCTCACTGGATAAATGAAATCTGATCTGTGATGCGACTGTCGTTCAGCACACTGGACTGAGTAGCCGCGTTCAGTTTTTAATTGTAGTGTCTGTTCTTTTACTGAACTAAATGATTTTTATTACTATTAATAAAATCAAAACGACGGTGGGGGTCGGTGACGCGGTGGACAAATTACGTAACCGGTGTTGCGGCTTAACACCGGTATCACCGTCAGCACCGTCTATCGCGGCAAGCCTAATAGAAATCATACTTTTTCTTAAACTCTGAGAGCTTCTTCAACTTCTTGTTGGAGGGATGTAAATTAAAAGAAGAAAAGTAGCGTTATTGTATTTAGTTGGTTTAGATCATTTTATTGTTCGGTCTTATTTTAACTAATTTAAAGTCAATCTGAGGCCTCTTAGTGGGCCCCGGTCCTCTAGGTTGCTTGGTGCCTCTCTTTTGGTTTCAGTACAAGCCTCAGAAGGAAGGAAGGAAGATAAGAAAACTAGAAATACAAAGACTGATACAACCAATATCATTGTGATTCCTCTGAGCTAAAAGTAAAGTCATCAGCTGGTGTCACAGTGGAGCTTCTGGGACCTGCTTAAAAATGGGCATATATTTACAAACATTATTTATGTCCAGTATTTTATTCTGTGCCAGACAGGAATGGCCGTAATTGATTTATCCCACTAATTTGGTCCAATTTCTCGATTCTTAGTATTATTCCCCAATCTCTGTCACCATTAATGAATTGAGTCCTCAGAGTAAGTGTGGCTAAAAGAAGCTGACACGTACCGTCCCTCTGCCAGCTGATCAGTGGGTAAGGGGTGGAAAATGGCTGTGACTGTGGGGCACAGAGCGAGTACAGGGGGCGTCTGTGCCTGAGCTGGCACCGGCGTGTCTGCCAAGCGCTTCAGCCGACGTGACGTTCCCGTGAATGCGCTGAAGGTGTGAAACAGCTGCACAGCAAGCGCTGCCAGGAGGAAGTAATTAATAAAGACCGCAAACCTCACCTGCCTTCTCCCGCTGTCTTTCGTCTACTCGCACACACATTGCGTTTGCACCCGTCAGGTGGGCTCTGACGTTCACAGAGTCCATGCAACTGAAATTGGGAAGAAATTTTTGACAATTCCAACTTGAGCGAACTTTTAAAGGAGAGTGTCTTGAAGCACAGGTTTCAGATGTTTTGGAAAATAGTGCAAGTTATGTGATTTGCGTTTATGTTGCGTATTGTTGGAGCTTGGCAGTGTGACAATTTATTTATATTGATAGTATCAGCTTGGGGCTACTGCAAAATATCTAATTTTGTGTTCCACAAATGCAAAGAAAATATACTGATTACAAACAACAGCCAAGTAGATTATTTTTAGGTGAACTATTCCTTTATTTAGGTATGCATGTATGTATGTGTAAAGTCTCTAATGCTCACTAAGGCTGCATTTATTTTAGGGATGCTCCGATCCGCCTTTTTCGCCTCCGATACCTAGGGTTCGGTATTGGCCGATACAGATACCGATCCGATACCAGTGATGTTTTTTTAACCCATTTAAATAAATGTAGAATTTATATATCTCTGTGTGTGGAACTGATAATCATTCATTCACAATCTACTAGATACAGACATAAAAATGTATTCATAATTAAAATGTGTTAAAGTGTAATTTTTAGTAAGTGACAAAATAATTCGCCATTTCATGGAGAAATGTATAAGAGTGTGCGTTCTGATTCACTTGTTTGTTTGTTTAGAGGAGTATTGCATATCTCTTCCCCTCTGGACTCTTTGAGAAACGAGCAAGACCTGTTATGAAGGTGAGATTTCATCCCAAATTTTTATTTTTTTATTTTTTGATAATTAATAACACAGCCAATATGTTCAGTATGTTCCTTTTTGTTTTAGCACCCAGAGGAAATCTTCCCAAAACAGACAGGTATGTAGAAGTTGCCTTTTAACTCTTTCTATGCTCTTTGACACCAAATATAAGCTTGCTGATATCTGGTAATGAAGTACTCGTGCCCTGTTCTCTCTTTTAGCTGTCCAGTGGGATGCAGAAGGACGTCCTTTTCACTTTCTGTTCTACACGGGGCAACAGTCCTACTATTCCCTCTTGCATGTAAGTTCATGCTCATGTTAAATGCTTACATACAACAGGCCAAACTAGAGTGTTCTAGATTATATTGTAATAATAGCAGGGCTCTATGCTTACATTCCTTTTTAGAAGCACTTGTGCTCCTAATCTAAAAAATTTAGGAGCACTGTCAAAAATTCAGGAGCACCTTCTGATCAATAACAAAAATGAGCCTTCCCATTACAAGGTCATATTTGACTCCTTAAAGTGATTTACAGGGGCATTTTTTGTAATGTGTAATGGCATTTTTTCTCATTTTATTAAAAGTATGTCATTGTCAAATTCAAAAATCTATATTTATAAGCTCTTCCAAAATTTCTAATTAATAAAAATAGAATAAGAACAGGTAGAGTAAGAAGAATAAATTACCAATCAAAAGAAATGAATATTAACAAAATTAGTTTCCACTACAAAGGTGGGCACAGAATAACACAAAAGTGGCATGCAGGTACATTATACAGACATTTAGAGAGGCTCAGAGGTGGCATGGATATTTTAAATTCATAATGTTGTGAGATTATTGTTTTAAATATACAATTTTGAATATAGAACTATTGTTTGATCGAAATGATTTAAATAACTGAAAATTACACCTTAAAAATACAAATAAAACTGCCAGCAGGTGGCGGCAAGTCATTGATTTTATCACTGAATCATTCATTTAATTGATTGGTTTGAACGGCTGATTCATTCAGGAACGAAGCAAGTCTTTATGAATGGGTAATTGAATCATTGACTCACTAGATTCATTTAAAAATGCATGTTCATACATAAACGAAACACCACTTTATTTGCTTGGAGATGCGCAGCGGCTCGGCTGTGACTTTGAAATGTTTAAATTTATCTTCGTTGACAAAATTGAGCAAAATCATACAATATTGTTAAAGTCATACAATGTACGTCCTTTAATATTATTGTATTATTTATTGTTATTATTGAATTTATTGTTTATTGAACTGTTGTATTAATTCAATATCGCATTTGCAAACTCCCTTAATAATCTTTAAAAGCTGTCAATCACTTCAGTTCATTGCGATCTCAGAAAGTTGCATTATAATCAATGACGCTCTCTACTCTGCACAACAGATCTCTTATTTAAACCCTGTGTACACTTTGTTCGTTATAACGAGAGGATTTGTGAGCTTGCATAACTTGGCAATGAACAAAACTCCAGTATTTTGAGCACTGAGTGGTTTCTGATTAACATTGCTTTCCAGAAATCAACATATGTCTGCGATACATTACTCAATGCTGCAAAAACACGCAAGTAGAAATCTTTGAAGCTGGAGCGCAAATACAAATATGCTGATTGGCTTAGTCGCACAGGTGCTCCTAAATATTTTTTAGTCATAAATGCGACTGAAATGGTCGCACTGTAGAGCCCTGAATAGGTATTTATATACAGTACATAGGTACCATATAGATTGTGAGAATTTATTTTTGTTCGTATTGGTTGATATTTAATACTTAATTTAGATGCATGCTTGGTTCCCCTATTTTTTACATTTAATTTAATCTTTCTAGTCTTACTTTAAAAACACTGATAATTTAATTAGTATGGCTTCATTTTCTTTAAGATTACTGATTTTAGCTTTGTCTTCTTTTTCCCAATTTATATAAATAGTGTAAAATTTTATATAAATCATTTTATTGCCCATTAATCATTGAATTAAAATAGTTTATACTGTAAATTAAAATAGTTTAACTGATGTGCCAAAAGTATGGCGGTCTAAGATGAATTTCTAGTTTTTGGAAGGCTAAATCCATTGACCAAATTATTTGGTAAGTTTTTGGTATAAAAAAAGCATGAGCTTTCTGTCAATTTTATGCTAAATTAAAATTACTTGGCGTGTAAATATGGCGTGACAACTCACTATAGCCAACTCAGTTTAAGCATCAACTGATCATCCCTCCCTCTGTATTAGAGTTGTGACGGTGAGGATATTTCCCCACCGATTTTTTGTTGTGTAACAACACCGATAATACCGATATCACCGTGGGGTGCACATTGTACCTTCACTTTCAAATTAGTGGCAATTAGTAAACTCACTTAGCCTATATATAAATCATAGAACTTTTATTAACAAAACTAATAAAAATACACCATGCTATAGGCTATGCCTAATATAAAAAAAACAACAACTTTAGTTAAATGGGTATACAAAACTAAAAAAATCAGCAAACACTGTGGAACCAAATAAGAAACTGAGAAAGTTTATTAGCAAAACGAATAAGAAAGCTTAAAGGCACAGCATACACCTTGATGTCAAATAAAATAAATTACACAGTTTAAATAAAGTAAAAATCAGAAAACATTGTGGAACCAATTAAATAAGAAAAAATGTTTAAAAAAACTTACAAAATCACCTTAGATAAACGGCAAAAGTCAACATGCTTTTCAAAATCCAAAATATTGCCAAACAGGCACTTTTGCATTTAGTTTCGAAACTAAATCGTCCGCTATCGTCTTGTCTGTCTCACCTCACTCTTCTCGTCAGTCAGCTCGACTCGCTCTCCTCACATGATAAATTAAATCTGATCTGTGATGTGACTAGGGCTGGGTATCGTTCAAAATTTTTCGATACCGATACCTTGACTTCGATACCGGTTCCTGAATGATACACAGCAAATTTGAAAGCGTTAAATTGACACTCAGTGAGAAAATTAACACTTTTTCGGGGTTTATATAGGTCCACACTAAATAGTTAAACTAACACTTTAAATAGTGTTACTTTTTTTTTTACACTTGCATAGAGTAAAAACAACACTGTAAGTGTTCACCGTTAACACCATTAGTGTTTTCCCTCCCCCTCATTTACACCAAGTTAGTGTTGAAACTACACTACATGTGTCAATATCTTAACACCAAGAGACTTATTTCCACACTAATATAGTGTTCATACTAACCCTGATTAAGGTAATTAAGTGTAATCAGTATTCGACTAAAAATACCTGTGCATTCGGTGTAAAAAAAACAAATAAAGTCAACACGCTGTATCAGTTTGAAATTTTATTTTTAACACAGATGTAACTATTACACCAACACAGAAGGTACAATATATTCACCATCATCTGACCCATATAAACACTGCAGATCAAAAGGCCTGTAGAACAAGCTGTTGGCTTTTGACACCAGGGCTTCCTCGTAGGACAGGTTGAAGACAGTAAACTTTAAAAAGTTCAAAGGCACTCAAGGAGCTGGTTCCAATGCAAGGGATGAGGCACTTGTCCACAATGACGTAAAAGTGGTTGATCCTGCCCTTAATCCTTCCTGATCTCAGTAGGAATGGCTGGTGGCCCTCCCTCCTGCTGAGACAGCCTTCAATACTGGTGCAGGACTGAGAAGAAGAAAAAAAAGCACAAACAAATTAGATTAAATAAACCAGGGGGGGGAAAAAAATTATTTGCTGATACACCCTCAGTCAAATCAAGCTATGTGACTGACTTCATTAGAACACAAACAAAGAGTTGTACATGGACATCCGAGATCTGTAGGTCAATATAATGCAAGTGAACATGTGCAATCAGTTAGAGTCCAAAAGGAACATTTAGAGACATTATTCCAGTTATTTTCAATCCCTGTCCTGTGTACCCACCGCTCTGCATGTTGTGTAGCTCCCTTATTCAACAAACCTGATTCAGATCTTCACCTCATTAGGCAAGAGCTCCATGAAATAAACTAAAGGGTTAGTTCACCCAAAAATGAAAATTTTGTAATTTACAGAAAAGGTTGTTACCCACAGGTTGTTCCAAGCCTGTATACATTTCTTTGTACTGCTGAACACAGACATTTTGAAGAAAGTTTGTAAACAGGCCACTTTGTACAGACATTAACTATCATAGTACTTTTTTCCTACTATGGAAGTCAATGGCTGCCCAAAGCAGCCAGTTTACAAACTTTCTTCAAAATATCTTCCTTTGTGTTCAGCAGTACAAAGAAATGTATAGAGGTTTGGAACAGTAAATGATGAAAAGAGTAAATTACAATTTTCATTTTTGGGTGAACTATCCCTTAAGTGTCAGGTCAGAGAAACAAAATGTGCAGAGGGGTGAATCCCAAGGACTATGATTGAAAACCACTATTGTCCCAATCTGAATGAGTAGATGTTTAGGGGGTGGTGGGTGATTTAGGATAAAACAAACATTTAGTGCTCACAATAACAAGAAACCAGAGAAAATAATATGAAATTGACATCCTCACAAATCATGCCATAACCAAAACATGTGCAAAATATGATCGTGGTTTTGCGCAGCTTGTCAGTGAACAACGGCTCGGTGGATTAAATGCTGCTCCATGTGAAAGCACGCACGTGTAGAGATTTACCGCTGATTACAGAACCGGCTTTACTGGCAAGATGCGCATTAAATATCGCATGCGATTTATCGTGCAGCCCTATTGTCTATGCTTGAAAGTTTCCTTCATCTTTTGCATAACTTCAGCTTCATCAGCTGTATGGACAAGGAAAGAAGTTACCTCTCTGCATGCATCTCCTTCAAGTTGTTGCACATCATCTATCCTTCATCGACTTGGTCCTCCACTTTCAGTCATCTCCAAGCCAACACGTTTTGGGTTCTTCCTCTACAAAGTTTTAAGGCGCCAGGAGATGAACTCTGTTCCCTTTTCCGGAACGTAGAAATGCTCCTGTCAGAAAGACAAGAGAACACTTTGTAAGATCTGAACATTACGTTAGTCATTACATTTAATAGATAAACTACTATTACATGCCACAAAAAAGGAGCACAAAACTTCATGTCCAACTAGATTGTGTAAAAAGTACATCAATGCAAAAGATTCTTACATAGCCCTTTGTTAAAAACTGGTCTCTCAGGCTAGGAAAGAGAGAAATAATGCCCAAGGCATAAGTTTCCTGCTGTTTGCGGGTGGGGATCTCCTTCAATGTGTAAAAATAAATAAATAAATAGTTAATGCTAAACTTAACATTGTTTTCTACACCAATTGACACAGCTGTGTGCATTTCTTGCATCTGTGCACTTAAGTCTTACCCATGAATTGCTGTCATGTGACTGACAATATTAACAAGCTGATGTCTGGTGCTTTACAATAAGGTTTCATTAGTTAACATGGACTAAGAATGCACAATACTTCTACAGCATTTAATAAGCTTAGTTAATGTTAATCTCAACATTCCCTAATACATTATAAAAATCAAAAGTTGTATCTGTTAACATGAATGCACTGTGAACTAAAATGAACAACAGTTCTAGTTTTATTAACTAATACTAAAGTTAGTTTGCACATTAATTAATGTTAACAAATGAGACCTTATTGTAAAGTGTTAGCATACAAAAGCACTGTGGGCTTATACCTCAAGCATAGTTCCTATATGACTAAGTACATTTCTAAGCAGTAGAACAAGATTCTAAGCTTACCTTCAGTGAGAAAGTCTCGGAACCTACTATCGCTGTGCAGTTTTACAAATG